GAGGCCCTGGGGCCACCAACCGCCCCTCTTAGAGGGACCTTTGAGGGTCTGGCACCAACAGCCACTTCCCTCACCCCCAGCCCCTTGGCCCCCGGCTCTCCCCACCCAGAGCCCCGCGGCCAGGCCGGCACTGTGCGCTGACTCACCTCCCGTCATCGACCTGAAAACGGCGTTGCTGACCCTCGAGAGATAGGCAGGGTCAGAGGAGAGGGGGGTCATCTCGTTGAAGGTGTCAGCGCTATAGATGTGGTCTGTGCCGAACTCTTTGATCAGCTCCTTCAGGAAGAGGGTCCCGATCACCTGGAACATGGGGTCCTCTGGGTCCAGCAGGTAGGTACACGAGTAGGTGCAGTCGAAGTGGCTCCAGCCCCCAAGGCGAGTGGCATTCACATGTGGGAAGACCCTGTGCCAGAGGGCAGAGGCAGGGATCAGGATCAGGACAGGACCGCTGCGCCCCTGTGGGGACAGGGCGGCCTCCTGGGGAAGCTGGCACAGGCACAGGAGGGCCGGGAGCTGCATTGGCCCTGGGAGCACCCCGTGCAGCCAGCGCTGGCCAGAGGTGGGACCCCAGGGCTGAGACGCCGGGGAGGGAGCTGCAGCCAGGGCTGATCTGCCCTGTGGGGTCCGTGAGCGTGCAGGGCTGCACCTACCGAAGAACCCCCTGGGGTACGTGGCCTGCAAAGGCTGGCAGCACCGTGATCATCCCCAGCGAGCGCATCCTCTCCACGATCTGGTACTGGGAGAGAGAATGAGGGAGGGAGTGGGGGCAGAGGATCCCCACCTCCCCACACAGGGCCCCTGGGTGCCGCTAGAGCCTGGGAAAGGGAGCGGCAGCCCCCGAGCCTCTGTGAGCACGGTCTTGGCCTGGAGAACCAGGGCAGGGGGTCGCATGGGTCTGCCCCGGGCAGGCGGGCATCCCTGGTACCCCTGGTACCTGCAGGTAAAGCTGTTTGAGGTGCCAGGCTGGCGGCAGCGGCCCTGCCCAGCCGTGGAGGTTCCCCATCCGGTTCCAGGCCAGGAACGCCGGCCCCGTGAAGTATGCATCGATCTCCGACTGGTTCAGCCCCAGGGAGTGGTACACCTGTCCGGGGCGGCAAAGGCTCAGCCGGCCCCGCGGCCGCCCCGCTGCCCTGCCCACTCCCGCGAGCCCCGATACTCAACCCGCTGCCAGGCTGCCTCCTGCCCCGTGAAGGCTGGCGCCAGGTTGATGCCGCTGAGGGCCATCCAGTCGATCTCCCGCTCCCAGCGCGCCCAGTCCCACCATGCGTAGGAGTAGCTCTGGGTGCAGGCGTTCTGGTAGTAGCGGTACCTGGGGGGAGCGGGCGGGAGGCTGCGGGCTGGGCCCCCCCCCTCCCGGCCCCGTTCTCGTTACGTTACGTAAGGGCGCCTTGTCCCGGACTAACGAGCCATGAGCAGCGCCCCGGGCCCCC